GATCAGCTTCCTCACGTGCACCTTCCACATGCCTCCATGTCGCTCCACGGTAGCATTCTGCTGCGGCGTAGCCGCAGAGGTGGTCATCAGGCGGCAACCCATGCCCTCTAGCTCCTTGGAGAACTCTCGCTCGAACTCGCCTCCACCATCAAATATGACGCGTTGAGGCGCGCCGACAGGCGTGATCCAAATCTGCAGCAGCCGAGCGAATACAGCTGGTGGGTGCCTTGATGCAACCGCGTCGCACATCGTAAAACCTTAGGCCATGTCGACCACGTTCAGGTAGATCAGCTGGTTGCCCGCGTAGTCGGCCAGGGAAAAGAGGTCCACTCCGATGGAGTCATTCTAATGCCTGTCCAGTCTGATCCTGCCTGGCAGGTGCGGTAGTGGCCGTTGATGTGCTGCACAGACCTCGCAGTTGAGGTTGAGGGCCATCTCCACGGATCTCTGCGATCCGCCTGTCACGCGGATAGCTCGGGCAAGCAAGTCGTTGGACGGGTGCCCCGTGATCACGTGGAGCTGCATCACGGCGGACTTGAGCGTCCGCTCCTCCGCGGCCGTGAGCACTGGTTCATGCGCGGCTGCAGCGGCTGGAACCGTCCTCCTGCTCACCCTTCGCGCTGTAGGGTGTGCTTCGCGTAGGGGTCGGCGGTTCGGTCGCTGCAGTTGCCCGGCCAACACCTTCACGAGCTTGCACGTGTAGCTCTCGCTGTTCTTCGCGATATTGCCGCGAGCCTCGGCGTGGAAATGCGACACATCGCAGAACCTCCTGAGCGAGTCGTCGAACCCGTAGTGGGCGGTGACGATCCCCCACGGCTTCTTGATGTGGACGCCCTTCTTCGTCTTGAGGTCGAACGCGCAGCCGTCAAAGTCTATGACTCGCGGGAGCTGCTCCTTCGGCTGCTTGGCGGTCGAGTTCTTGTTGGGGCCCCATCCGTCGCAGCACCTCGGCCACTCGAACGAGACGGCGAGCTGGGCGCCGAAGTCCTTGCGCAGCCGGGACATGGACCGCAGGGACAGTCCGATCATGAGCTTGGACTTGGCCCGGCCCTGTCTTGAGGTGCGGGATTTTACTCGGGTCGATCTCCACGACAAGTCGCTGTAGTGAGGTCCACGGCCAGCAAGGACATGCAGCGTGAACTTGCACACTCTTGCTATTGGCAAGGTTGGACCTGATCCTGCCCTCCAGCTCGTTGGCCACGAACCGTTTTGATAGGTCGTAGCCTGGAAGACCGCACCAGACAGCAGCTCCCCCCTTCTTCCTCCAGGTAGCACTGAGCTGGCTGTCCGGGTTGCAGCCCCACTCGTAAAGCACGGTGCTGCTCGCTGTGGGGGTCGGGCTGAATTTGGCACTAGATTTCGCTGGGTTGGTGACCAAGGCCTGGCTGATTTGATGCGGCTGGATGCCGCTCTCTCCGGTGACGAAAGCCGAACGATTGCCTGCGATCAGCTGCGGTTTCGCCCCCTTCTTGAGCGTCCGCGCGCGTAGCTGCTCCTCCTCCACGATGTTGACCTCGGGTCGGGGACTGGCGTCTGTGATGTCATCAAGTCCCTGGTCGTAGCCCCGAGTCACGGGCGTGCCGAAGACGCAGTCCGAGCATAAACCACGGTGGCTGCAGACCTCGTAGGCCTTCTCGCCGCAAGCGATGCAGTCCTGCAGCGGCTCGGTCACGCACGTCGTGGGGGAGGTGATCTGCGGCAGCGTCGTCAACGGGAGGCTTGGAGCTGGAGCTGCGGTGGAGCAGCAAACCAGAGCTGAAGCCTCGGCAGACAAAAGCCGCGACCCCCAGGGTCGACGAGGCTGGAGTCGCCTCGGGACGTTCAGTTCCTTCTTCATGACGAGCTTGTTGATCGTATCGACCAGCGTGCCGGTCTTGATCGTAGCGTTGACCGCAGGTTCGTCGCTCACCTTCGGTCGGCTGGCTGGATTGGCAGGTCGCTCCATGCCAGCGTCCTTGATGGTCTGCCAGTCCTCGGGCTGCAACTTGATCGCGGGGTGGCCCGCGGCGCTCGCCATGAGCTTCTGGGCGGAGTTCCCGATGCGGATCTGGCCCATCCAGAGAGAGATGTCGATCTTGGAAGGCTGTGTGAAGTCGCGGCCGACGAGCAGGCCAAGCGCGGAGCTGCCCACGACGCTGAACACGACGCGGCCGGCCTGGCCGCAGAGCACGGGCGGCGCGGTGGCGCGCAGCTTGCTCGGGAGAGCGCCTGCGTTGCCGAACCTGCAGATCTCGTCCTCGTGCTCCTCGAGGATCTGGTCGGCGAGGCCCATCCTGGTGAGGATGACCTTGTAGTTGTCGCACCACTTCCTGCCCGAGATGCAGAAAAGGCAGGCGGCGCCCACCACGCCGACGCCTTCGTCCGCGGGCGCCCCGTTACCGATCGCGACGCTCACGTTCGGCAGGCGGTGAATCAGCCGCTCTGAGACGCAGGCCTCAGGAGGCGGTGACGCAGGTCCCTGCTGGTGAAGGGCAATTTCCTCGTCCGCGAACTGGACCTGCTCGGTGATGCGCGCCTGGCGCCGCGGGCGACCTCCTCGCCCCGCGCCGCCCACCGCCCTTGGACTTGCCGTCCATGGGCGCGAACTTGCGAGCACCCGGCGTGGGACGCCCCTTGTCTCCCGCCCAGCGCCCGGTCTCGCCGCAGCCCCAGCGCTGCGACGTCTTCTTGCGCTGGTCGACCCGGCTCTGGAGCTTGGTCAGGCGGCGAGACGGCGCGGACCTGTTCGACTTGCCGCGGCCCTTCAGGGCCTCCCGGGCTGACCTGATGGCGGCCATGGCCTCCGGAACGGCGGCAAGCTCAGCCGCGGCGGCCTCGACCTCGGCAGAGTCGTCGCTGTCGAGCAGCTCGGAGATGCCCACGTTGGAGGACTCGAGCTCGGCGCTGAAGGCCTCGAGCTCCTGACGGACGATGTCCTGCACGTCGGCCTCGCCCTCGTCGCCCTCCTCTTGCTCTTCGTCGTCTTCGTCGGCGGGCTCGTCGACGACGTTGGTAGATCGCCCTCCACGGCTGGAGGAAGCGTTGCTGCGCCAGCCGCCATGGGGGCGCGACTGGTTGCTCCACGGCCTCGACGGCGGCGGGGCGCGGCGCTCGGAATTGTGGATGTCCAGAAACATCCGCACCAGCAGTCCACGGATGCGCTGGTAGCCGCAGCGTTCGTCGGGCAGGGTTGCCCACGACGCGCTCGCGGCGCTCGGCCGCGAGATCGGCCTTTCGCAGCAGGAACCATCCCGCCACGTCGTCCAGCACGTTGAGGTCCACCTCGTTCTCGCGTAGCTGCTGCAGACCGGTCTCGAAGCGGATGGGCCAGTCCGTCATTCGTTCACTTCGCCGTCGGTGTTGCTGGGTAGATTCGAAAAGCTTCTCGAGGGCCTCGCCATTCTGCACGGGCTTCTGCTGACCCAGGTTCGTTTCCACATGCTGCAAAACATTCTCGATGCCGACCTGATTCCTCTTGCGCTCCTTCTCATCGGCATCCTCGATGTCTGCTGCAGCTGCCGGGTGCAGCTGCTCCTCCGTCATATTCAACGCTGCGCTTCTTGCTGCCCCGCTGAGCCTGAGCGCGAGCTTCGACGCGAGACTCTGCGTCACTGAGAGGTTCTCGCTGAGTTTCCACAGCTTCACCTCCTGCTTGTAGTCTCTCCACTTTGAGGGATCTCCGTTCCATGTGGGTATAACTGACTGTCCGAAGTTGTGAGAAATGCCCGTCATCTTTGCGAAAGGGTAGACGTAGAAACCGGAGTAAAGGAAATCGAACTCTGTGGCATCGCTGAAGTCCTGGGAGTAAGGGAAATCGAACTCGGCGACGTCGCTGATGTTCTAGAGAAATCACACTCGGCGGCGTCGCTGAAGTTCTGGGAGTATGTGAAATCGAACTCGGCGGCTTCGCTGAAGTTCTGAGGTTAGGGGAAAACGAATGTGTCGGCTTCGCTCAAGTTCTGGGTGTAGGCGCAGGCGTAGGTGCTGTCGTCGCTGACGCTGGCGTAGGAGTCGGCGTTGAAGGCGTAGTAGGCGTGACAAGTGCTGGCATCGCTGACGCTGGCGTGGGAATTGGCGTTGAAGGCGTAGTAGGCATGAGTGCTGGCGTCGCTGACGCTGGCGTAGGAGTTGGCACGGTAGGCGTAGTAGGCGTTGATGCTGGCGTCGCTGACGCTGGCGTAGGCGCTGAGCAACAGCGCGAGGAAGCCGCTGGGCTTCGATTCCAATATGGATAGACGTGCCGCCGACGCCGTCTGTGATATGCACGGCCCCGCGGGCCGGGATAGCGAGCCTCGCTCCGAGCTACCACTGTGATATGGATCGGCGCGCAGCGCCGGGGATGCTTTTGCTGTGAGCGCGGCTCGAATCACTGCCGTAGCTCTAAGGCCAAGGGCCCTCTTTGAGAGATAGCGGTTGCGGGCAGAGCGGGCATGAGAGAACGGAAGCGAGGCCGAAGAGGGCGACTTTTCTGGAATCGCAAGGAGAAGGGGGACGACCACGGCCACCACCACCATGGCCACGACGAAGACAACGGCCATTACCACGACCACGACAACCACGACCACGACCACGACCACGACCGCGACGACGACCACCACGACGCCCACGACGAAGACGTCCACGACCACGACTCACGATGACGACCACGACCACGACGAGGACCACAACTGCGACCGCGACCACGACCACGACGACCACGACCACGACCACGACGACCACGACCAAGACCTTGACCACTACCACAACCACAACCACGACGACGACGACGACGACGACGACGACGACTATCATCAGTATTGTTGTTATTAAGTATGAGGATTTGCGGGGTTCCAAGGGGAGGAGAAGGGCGAGAGGAACGGTCTTCACAGAGGGCGGGGGGGTGCTTCTCAGAAGCCCTCCCGCCTTCTGAGAAGCGTCCCCCTCGCCCTTCCCCCCTGGGCGCGCCGCCAAGAGGAGGGGGAGAGGGAGGCGGAGAAGAAGGGAGGGAAAATGATTTGGACGATTTGGGCCTCTCTGCACAGGAGCGGCCAGGCGACTCCGAGGAGTCGGACTGCGTCGTCGCCTGAGTGGGAGCCCCTTCGCTCGGCTACGCGGCATCCTCTAGACTTGGCGGCCGCGTGTTGAGCAGCGCCACGTTGTCGCGCGTTTTTTGTGTTGTTTCTGTCCTCTTGTCTCCCCTCCCCAATGGCAAGAGCAAACTGAACACATGCAAGCAAGTCATGTGCAGGTAGAGAACATACGAGGACGGAGCAGGGGCAAACATGTAGCAATACTTATCCAACGAATCATCAGAGTGAGGGGCGTCCGAACGGTCTTACTGCGTCCATGAGTGCGCGTTTGGCCGGCGGGCAGCCCTCCTCCAGGACCATGAGGCGGGCATAGCGATGGGGTCAGATCCCAACCGGATGGTCCAGATCCCTACCGGACGGTCCAGATCCGAACCCGTGGGAAAAACGGAACGGTCCAGATCTTAACCGCCAGACAAAGTTATGCAACATTCCGTTATTGCATGATCATCTTGGCAATGAAACCGAACGGTTTCCCTCAAGGGAATTCTCTTGGTTTTCATGGTGCGCAGTTGGGGTCTGGACCACTCCATTGCGTTATAATTTGCGAGTTCGAAATGCTCCTGGAGCCTTGGGTGGAGCTCCCTATCGGGCCACTAAATGTGCGAGGGGTGTACCAACATGGGCTGCTGGGACGCATGCGAACAGCGCCATTGGCGCCTTGGATGGAGCTGCCTGTGGGGCCACGAAACGTGCGAGAGACGTGCCAAGCTGGGCGGCGGGAACGCATGCGGGCGGCACCGTGGAGTCCTTGGGTGGAGCTCCCTATGGGGCCACGAAGCGTGTGAAGGGTGTGCCGAAACGTGCGGGGACGCGTGCGGGCGGCACCAGTTGGGCCGTGGGTGGAGCTCCTGATGGGGCCACGAAGAGTGTGAGGGGTGTGTCGAAATGGGTGGCGGGGACGCATGCGAAAGGCACCATTTGGGCATTGGATGGAGCTCCCTATAGTGCCACGAAACGTGTGAATGGGTGTGCCGAAATGGTTGGCGGGGACGCATGCGGGCGGCACCATTTGGGACTTGGGTGGAGCTCCCCATGGGGCCAGCGTGTGATGGGTATGCCGAAATGGGTGGCGGGAACGCATGCGGGCGGCACCATTTGGGACTTGGGTGGAGTTCCCTATGGTGCCACGAAACGTGTGAGGGGTTCGCCGAGCTGGGCGGCGGGAACGCATGCGGGCGGCACCATGGAGTCCTTGAGTGGAGCTCCCTATGGGGCCACGAAGCGTGTGGGGGGTTGTGCCGAAACGTGCGGGGACGCGTGCGGGCGGCACCAGTTGGGCCGTGTGTGGAGCTCCTTATGGGGTCACAAAACGTGTGAGGGGTGTGTCCAAATGGGTGGCGGGGACGCATGCGAAAGGCACAAGTTGGGCTTTGGGTGGAGCTCCCTATGGTGCCACGAAACGTGTGAAAGGGGTGTGCCGAACTGGGTGGCGGGGACGCATGCGGGCGGCACCATTTGGGCCGTGGGTGACGGCCCCTGTTTGGGGCCCCGAAACGTGTGAGGGGTGTGTCGACATGGGTGGCGGGGGCGCATGCGGGCGGCACCATTTGGGACTTGGGTGGAGCTCCCTATGGGGCCACGAAGCGTGTGAGGGGTGTGCCGAAATGGGTGTCGGGGACGCGGCACCATTTGGGACTTGGGTGGAGCTCCCCATGGGGCCACGAAACGTGTGAGTGGTGTGCCGAAATGGATGGCGGAAACGCACGCGGGCGGCACAATTTGGGCTTTGGGTGGAGCTCCCCATGGGGCCACGAAACGTGTGAGGGGTATGCCGAAATGGTTGGTTGGTGCGGATGGCAGAGGCAGGGATGGGAGGAGGGAAGAGCGGGAGGAAGGAGAGGAGGAAGAGAAGGAGGAGGAGGAGGAGGAGGAGGAGGAGAGAGGAAGGAATGCGGGGCGATGTCCCTTCAAAACGAGGACCCAACATCACGGGATGGTTGGGAAAAAAGAAAGAGAGAGAGAGAGAGAGAGAGAGAGAGAGAGACAGGAGGACACGGAGATGGAGGAATCAGCAGGGGAGCGCAGCCGTGAATGCATGTGCGTTTGCCCGCGTGATGGCATATTTTCTCGTGGCCTCGTGGCCCTTCTCAATGCCACCGCTCAACAACTGCCGTGCGTCCCGCGCAAGTATCCAGGGCTGTCCGCGAGGCTGGGCGCTAGGCACCAGCACCGCCCGCGCATCCAGTAGCTAGGCCGCGTTCCGCCAGGTCTCTGCGTTCCCCTCGCTTGCGCTGGCGCCTCAAAAACATGTGGCTCATCCTCTCGTGTCCCTCCACTTGCTGTGCACCCTCACCCACGCCTCAGTGGCTTTGAGAGATTTCGACAGCCAGCTGTTCCAAGTTTCGGCCTCTGGAGGCCCGTTTCGGGCCCTTGGAACCTTAAGAAAAAACGCGGCAGACAAAAATGCCCCAGGAGTTCCAGGGGGGCACGATGCTACACCGAGCAAAAGTCGGACAGGCGTAGAACTACACTTTGGGCGAGTGGATTAGCTTCTTGCGCGGATCCCGAAATTCCAAACTTACTTTTGCGACATCGTCTTACGTATTGGTTCGCCCGCCATTCGAGGGGGCCGATCGCGCCTGTTGGATTTGCCGGGGCTTCGGCGTGTCTTGCCATTGTCAGTGTGGAACCAAGGCTTGCGCCTCACGAGTGGATTGGAGGATGGGCGCAAGGTGAGTCTTTCAGCTGCGGGGGGGCGCGGGCGTTCGCCGCCACGCAGGGGCCAGGGGCACTTAGGAAACGCTCAGGGAAATGGAGGGCGGCAGGTAGAGGAAAAACGGGGGAGGGGGAGGGCAAAGCAGCGGGCGGGAATGGTGAACATAGTGACCAGGCGAGATACTCTGATTGGGGGAGCGATGTGGGCGGAGGCCGCAGTTGGAATTCTTTCTGATAGCCCCGGGACGTTCAGACACCTCCGCCCGGAGGCCGGCAGGGGGTTCAGCGGCCCTTGCCTTCCTGACTCTGCGGGCGGGGCGCGACGACGTACCCGACGTGTACCCCGCCCCTTTCGCTAGGTGCCGGTCTGTGCGCGCTCGCCCCGCGCGAGACATCCAGCGCGTTCAGAACTACACTTAGCCGGGCACTAGGTGTAGTTCTGTACGCGTTGGTTTCGCCGGAGACATCCCCACAAAACGGAGCACTTATAGAACTACACCTAGCCAGCGGGGAGGGGTGCATGTCGGGTGCCGCCACTCGCGCCCCCGACGTGGACCGCGCCCCGGCCGCTAAGTGCCGTTCTGTACGTGTCCCTTTTCGCGAAGCATCGGCTGCCCGCGCTTCCCATCTGCCGAACATTGGGAATTCGTGTTTTGCAAACGCCGCATTGCAAGTGTTACTGCGTCTGGGACCCATTCGGCACGCGGTGTTGCTTCATCGACGCGGATGCAGCGTCCGATGGCTTCATCGATGCGGTGCGTGTGCGTTGGGACAGCAGGCGGATCTGATGGGCGCAGCCGTGGGTGACCTTCCTGTGGATAAAAGCGAACAAGTACCAGGAGTGCGAGCGGTGCGCGATGGGTTGTTTCAGCGCGGTCGCACTAATGACTTTAGGAGCACTCGCCAATGCGACGCCAGCGAGCTGTGGAGCGCCTTAGTTGATGCTATCTGTGCTGCAGAGTCGAGTGCGTTGGCGGGCATGGGAATCCCGGCGCAGCACTACACACTAGTAGACGGGTCCATACTGGGAAGCACCATCCGTCAAAGGCGGTTCTGCGGCGGGTGCGGTTGGGTGTCGGATGTTTACAGACGAGAACGATCCATGGTAATCCAAATGTGGGAATATACGGATATGTTGGGACCAGTTGGTCTTGGGCATCTCGTAGCGTTTGAATCCACGCGAACTCAGCACGGTTTGCCATGCCCGCATCGACCCGTCTTGCGAGACGGAGAGGTGTGGCATGGGTGCCCGGGCCCGTCGCAAGCTGACGACGTGCCATGGGAGACGCCTGCAAGATTCCTTGTTGTGGTCCTGAGCAGAAGAATGGCGGGCGGAATGACTAGAGTGAATTCCCGCGTAAGCGTGCCAAGGGCGTTCGAGTGGCCAGGAACGTCGGGCTGGACATACCAGCTCCAGGGCGCGATTGGCCATCTGGAGCACCCAGTTCATTACGTCGCCTACTTCGACTGCCCTGGCGTCGGCGTCGTAAGGTTCGACGGCAACGTGGTGGTGCGGATGGAGTTCAAGGACTTTGCAGAGAGTTCGAAGAATCAGAGAGACATTGCCCTTGTGGTGTTTTCCAGGCACCGAACGGAAGCAGTCGCGCCGACAGGTGGCGCCGAGGAAGCGGCGTCGTCAACGGAGGGGCCGCTGTCGTTGGGCGACAGACCCCCAATGTCGTCAGCAACAACCGACACGGAAAAAGCTACGCACGAGCTGGGTGTAGCGAACCGTGGACATGCATAATCCGTAGACCACGGCGGTGCTGCCAAAACGTCGCTGGAAAGCGAGATGGCTTTGGGCCGCGTCGATAGAGAGTCTACATCAACGCGCGCGCCATCGAGGGCGGGAGATGGCGTACATGGTGCGTCTCCGTCTTTGCATGGCGCTCCTGTCGGGAACCGCCAGCCGGAGGAGGGCGCAGGGGCCACCGAGGGGACGCGGGTGAGGCGAACGAGGCGCTGGAGGAAGCAGAAAGAAACGTTTTGCGAGTCGTATAGAACGAGCGCGACAGAGCCCACGCATTGTTCGTCCATGATTTGTGGCCAGTCGTGCAGAAACGAGCCCGAGGCAGGCGCTGGGACGACCGCGGGCGCAGCAACAGCCAGCAACCTCAACAAGCCAGTGCAGGACGGTGCCGCAGCGGGCGCAGTCCCAGAGGCGGATACAACGCAAGAGATGTTTTTGCAGCGCGCGTCAACCCAGAGCCGAATGATCCCCGACGAGCACGCGAAGAAGCGGTGGCAACGGCTGCGAAGCTGTTGCGGGAGATCCCTACTGTGCCCGCGGATCCTGGAGACCCGAATATACCGTGGGGGGCAGTTTTGGTCGAGAACGACGC